GTATTAAATAAATTAACAGGTTCGACATTATTCAAAGACATTATAACATGTAAGGAAATAACTTATGAAACTTTTGAAGATTCTGCAATTGCAATGGGTTTGATAGACGATGATAAAAAAATCGATGATATTTTAAAAAAAAGCAATTGCTGTTATGTTTCCATAACGATTAAGACAAATTTTTGCTTGGTTTTTAATTTCAGAAAACGTTTAAAATGATAAAATATGGACTTAATACAAAGGATTTTTAACAAAGGGTTTGTCTAATAATAAAGATAATTTAGCTCTTTTACGTATTAACCAAATTTTAGAATCAGAAGATAAATCATGAGGATGCTTTAATTTACCTACACCGAAAAAATGGAATGTAAAAAAGAAGATATAGATAATGATATACGTTTCAGTGAAAAAATGTTTAACTCAATGTATTAAAGTTCAAATAGTGACCAGAAAAATATATTTTATATTATTTATGAACAAAAAAATACAATTTTCTTTATAGAAGATCCTGGAGGGCCAGGAAAAACTTATTTATGTAAAACGTTAATTTACTTCCTTATTGCTCAAAATAAGAAAATCACGTCAATGGCATAGAGTGGTATAGCATAAATTTTGCTTCCAAAAGGGATGAGCAGTCATAGAGTTTTTAGACTTCCTTTAGATCCTAATGATAAAGAGAGTGCATTTTAAGAATTTGAGTCGGATAAAAAAACATTAAGAGAAATTGATTGAATTATTTGGGATGAAATTAATGATTCCCAAAAGAGCATTGGAAATGACAGACAGAACGTTAAGAGATTTATGTAATAATGGAAAATATTTTAGAAGTAAATTAATTGTTTTAGGAGGTGATTTTTTTCAGATTCTCGTAATGATAATAAATGGTAGTAGAAAAATTATACTTGAATATAAACTATTTAGTCTTCATATTTATGGATCCAATTCCAAATTTTAGAAATGGAAATCAATACTCGTTCTAACGATAAAGGATTTTTCAAAATTATGTTTCGAAATTGGGAAAGGGGAGATAAAAACTTTTAACATTCCTGAAAATTGGATCTCAAATGATGAATGTTCTTAAATATTTTCTAATATCTACAATTAATTGATGAATAGTGTTGTACTCACATCGCATAACGAGAAGACCTCTTATTGCAAAAATAAATTTTTTTTTTAATTTACTGGCGAAATTAAAGCTAACTATAGTATAGATAACGCAACTTTTAAAGGAGTTGATAAATCAGACGATAACATTTATTTAAATTTTTTGGTGGAAGTGTTAAACAATATTCGTGATGGATAACCACCTCATGAACTAAACATAAAAATTATTACAAGAGTGATGTTACTGAGAAATTTAAGGATATTAGATGGACTCTGTAATGAAACATGTTTACGAATCACAAAATTATTACAGTATAATATAGAAGGAGAAATAAAAACTGGAGTAAAAATTGGAAATAGAGTCTTCATTCCAAAAATAACTTTAGACACATGAAACTTCTGAACATTATCATTTCTTTTGTATCGTAAACAATTTCCAATCGTTGTGGCATTTGCTATGACAATAAACAAATCCCAAGGTCAAAGTTTCGATAATGTAGGTTGGTATTTAAAAAAACGCTTATTTTCTAATGGTCAATCATATGTGGCTTTATCAAGGTGCAAAGATAAAAATAATTTATTTATTTAAGTAGAAAGGCAAAAAAATACAGGAATAGAAAATATTGTTTGATAAGAGATTTTTACATAATTTATTGACTTTACTTATTAATTTTTATAGATAAATTTTCAACATTTATGGTAATAAATTAAAAGTCACTTATCAATGTTTCATAGTTTAACAAGTATACATGAGATGATGTATGAAAAATGGTGTAGGGAGCCTGTGAGACCTGTGGAGGTGCTGTTGGAGGTCTATGGGGGGATGCGGGGTGGGGGGCTGTGGCGGGCCTAAGTGAAAAATTATAGAATGTTAAATTAGCGATCAAATCAGTCAAATTTTAGCTTATATTTGTGGGGCGACTGGGGGGTTTGTGGGCAGGCTGAGGAGGGTCTGTGGGAGGGCTGTGGGGGGGACATGTTGAATGCTTCACACAAATAACTGTATAATATAGACATATATATAGTTATAGGTTTCATATAAGTATACGTATACATAGATCTACAATAAGTTCTACACAAGCTATGTAAATATATGCGTATATATGCAGCTTTTCTGTAAAGTGCTGATATTATTGGTTAATATTGCTATATAGAAGTGTACGTGTACTGTTTACAACTAAACACCATGTACGTACTGTATATATAGCATAAACATTACATATGTTTACAAGTGAGTGCGTAAGTGTGTGTGCATTATATATACTGTATGTGTGTATATTAAACATTATATATATTCATAGACTATATGTCATACAAGTGCAAATAAAGTTTCCAAATTTTACTATCTCCAAGAATCGAACCTACATTCTTCGAATTGATAGTCGGAGACCTTACTAATTGTGCTACGCAATACACTGCATGATCTGTTCTCTGTTCTTAGTACTTATGGATACCAACTGAGAAACTTCTGGATTAGAAAATTGAACGAGGCTTGTGCGTTTAGTAAATCATATGTAATTTAGCCCACTGATTTAAAACGAAATAGTTATAACTATTTTTAAGTGGTCTCATAATGTTGAAATCGTGCTTTAAAGTGCGTTATATTTACAATTTGTAACAGTTTAATATACAGAGTAAAAAGAAATATCAGCATACAGGATGAAAAATTTTCTATCAATAAGCACTTATAATTTTGTTTTGGTAAGTGCCAAATGTTGAGATAAACAACTTTCAAACAAAAAAGGCATTTTGGCAGTATGTAATAGTAAGTGAGATTAAGAGAGCCATTGATCGTATGCTGTCGCGCTCGTTTTTTTTATTGTACACATACATAAAAGCCTTTTTTATAACTTTCTTTAATATTTAGCACCTTTTAAAAGTGATGAATTAGGATTTTAATCAGTACTATTTTTTTATCATTTTTTGCAAATTTTTTTTTTGTGAACAGGATTATTTAAAAATAATAATGTTTGACAACAATGCTAAGTTTTCCTGGGGGTCTTACAATTTTAATTATTCAAATCCCATCCAAACCCGTTTTTAGTAAAGAGCCAACGAAATTTGCGTACGTGCGTAACACAAGTATTGGAAAAGAGATAGAGAGATACAGAAAGTAATACGCACGAACATATTGTCAAACATGTACGTACTTATGTGTAGTTAGGTAGTATGTATACTCTTTGCCACGTATTATTGCGCTTTCTCGTTCTGTTGTATATATCTGAATAAACAAAAACAATATAAACATAATTTAATAGGATATTTGCTTTTTTCTATTCTATAATATTCACTGATAAAATTACATATTCGTAAATTCGTAAGGTCTTCACAGGTCCCTCGGACCGCAAAATAGCCCTGGAAAAAATAGCATTCATTCGATGAAAACGATTATTTTTATCATATAGACAATCAAACACCACGGAGTTCAATACCATATTCTTTAATGTTTCACATCCATCGGGGGTCCCACGACCCACACCTGGTTTTTTTTATTGCAACATTTTATGTTCCGTTATAAATACATTATAAGCTTCTACAGCTTCTTAAAAGCCTTTGCGTACCTTGATCATATATTTATTATTGTATGACTTGGTTTAACGGCCTACCTTGCTCATAAATTTCTTAGAATTTCAATGGCGTTGGTCTTATTTGTTAGTCTAGTATACTAGAAAAAATTGTGTTACTTATTTTTAAAATGACCATTCTTAGTTTGTACGGTCAAAATGTTATAATTAACTCTTAACATTTTATACTATATTAATGAGTTACGTAAAGGTTAAATAAGTTTCATGAAATTATTCACAAGCATGTATGGGTATAAAATATTAGTTTAAACTCATTTACCTGTTCGCGTTCCGTATAATAAATGGCTGTTCTCATTAAAGCCCAAAAGTTGTCTGCTGATAGCTCACAATTTGGTGAGAGAGAGCTCGGAGAAGCACTGAGCTCGCTGAGCCTGGAAATTGTGCTGTGAGAGCACAACCATCGGGCTCACGTTGCCCCCCCCCTCTAGCTTCTGCAGTTCAATGCTATGTCGTACTGTACAAGCCCAAACCACAGGCTACGTGGCGCGCATGGTTGTGTAGTCTCAGTTAAATGCTGTTTTGAACTCGTGTGACTCGATCTTCGAGACAAGGCGGCCTGTACACTTGTGAGGGAGTTCAAAGCGATTTGAACTTCTCTAGCCTGCGTAACTGGGCTCTGAACATTCAAAAGTTTTTTCCGTGCAGTGGGAACTATATCCATGTGCGCACGCAAGAGCGTCAGCTACTGCTGGTAACTTAAAGGTTAGATGTAAAAAGGTAAATATTCTCTGCTCCTTATGTTGTCAGTTGTTTGTCCACACGCTTACTGTCTTTCTCACTCTCATGTTGGACGAAAACCTCTTTAAATTTTTATACTTGTAAGTAATGTTACCTCAAATTAAAGTACAAGACCATATCAGTAGAAATTTTTTTGCTCTAAACGATACTATTTCTGCAAAAATAGTCGACCTCTCGGTCAAAAATATTGTTGTAAGGTATGTCTTGCTTACGTTCCCGGGTATGCCGTCTGTTCATGATTTAGAACAAGTCCTTTTAGAAATTGCAATAATCAAAGTATACTACAGTTGATATTGTCCATAAAAATAATTTATTGGTCATTTAAATTTACACGCTTTAGAATAAAACGTTTAAAAATACTCTGAATACAATCTTATTATTTTATAAAAAATTATATAACATCTATTAAAAAAAAAACTTTACAGTGTATTGAATAACAATTTTGAAATTTCATGGTAATAATATGTTTGGTTCGTGTACATCTTTATTCAGGTAAAACTTAACAATCAATATAAACTGCCACAGCAAGAGTAAGAAGTGGTTGGCAACATATATAAAACAAATTTAATAGAAATGAGAAAGCAATTGAAACAAATCAAATTGAAAACTCAAGCGCCCGGGAAGTACCTGCCAAGTGCCAATGAAGTCCCCGCGAAGTGCCCGAAAAGTACCCGGCAAATGCCTGGCAAGCTTCTACCAAGTAAACAGGAAGAACCCACCAACTGCCCGTAAAGACCCCGCCAAGTATCTGGGAAGTGCCGGGAGAGTCTCCACTAAGTACCCATAGAGTACCGTCAAAGTGCCCAGAAAGTACCCGCCAAGTGCCCGTAAAGTCCCCACTAAGTACCTGCCAAGGCCCTGCCAAGTGCCCGTGAAGGCACTGTCAAGTACCCATCCACTATTCAGGAAGTTCCCACCAGGGGCCCAGGAAGTACCCGCCAAGTGCTCGGAAAGTCCCCACAAAAAGCTCGGAAAGTACCCGCCAAGTGCCCAGTAAGTCCCTACCCAGTACTCGAAAAGTACCCGACAAATGCCCGGAAAGTGTCTTGGAAGTTTCCAACAAATACCCAGAAAGTACGTGCAGAGTACCCAAAAATTACCCGCCAAGTAATCAGAAAGTCCCTGCCAACTATCTGGGAAGAACCGACCAAGTGCCCGGAAAGTGCCTAAGACGTTCCTGCCAAGTACCCAGGAAGTACCCGGCAAGTGCCCATGAAGACCCCACCAAGTACCTGGGAAGTTCCTGGAAAGCCCCCATCAAGTACCCAGAAGGTATCTGCCAAATGCCCGGAAAGTACCCACGAAGTTCCACGTAAAGTCTCTGCCAAGTATCCGTCCAGTACCGCAAAAGTACCCGCCAAAAGCCCAGAAAGTACACATTGAGTGACCCTTAAGTCCCCGCCAAGTCCCGTCAAGTACCCGCCAAGTGCCCAGGAAGTACTTAACAAGTACCCGGAAAGTCCCTACCAAGTAACCGGAAAGTACCCGTCCAGTATTAAAAAAGTACCTGCCAAGTGCCCAGAAAAAACCTGCCAAGTACCTGAAAAGTTCCCACAAAATATCTGGGAAGTAACCACCCAGTTCCTAGAAAGTACCCACCAAGTGTTTGTAAAATATCAGCCAAATACTCATAAAGTACCTGGAAAGTACCCGCCAAAAGACCGTGAAGTACCGGCAAAGTCCCAAGAAAAAACCCACTGAGTGCCCGTGAAGTCCCTATCAAGTACCAGGCAAGTACCTGCCAAGTGCCCATGAAGTCTCTGCCAAATACCCATCCAAAACCCGGAAAGAACCCGCCAAGTGCCCAGGACGTAACCGCTAAGTGCCCGTGAAGTCCTCACCAAGTACTTGCCAAGGCCCTGCCGAGTGCCCGTGAAGGCACTGCCAAGAACCCATCCACTATTCGGGAAGTTTCCACCAAGTGTCCATAAAGTACCCGCTAAGAGCCCGAAAAGCACTTGCTAAGTGCCCACAAAGTACCTGCCAAGTACACGATAAGTCTCCACCAAGTACCTAGGAAGTACCCGCCAAGTGCCTAGGAAGTACCCGCTAAGTGCCCATGAAGTCCCTACCAAGAGCCTAGGAAGAACCCGCCAAGTACCTAGGAAGTACCCGCCAAGTGCCCACAAAGTACTTGCCAGGTACACAGTTAGTCCTTACCAAGTACCTGGCAAGCACCCACCAAGTGCCCTGGAAGTACCAACCAAGTGCCCATAAAGTCTTTACCAAGTACCTCTCTAGTACCCAGAAAGTACCTACTAAGTGCCCGTAAAGTACTCGCAAAGTGCCCGTGGAGCCCTTACCAGGTACCCCAGAAAGTACCCGCAAGTACTTAGGCAGTCCCTACCAAAAACCTTGAAAATACCCGCCAAATGCCCGAGGAGTACCCACCAAGCAATGAGAAAGTTCCTACCAAGTACCTTAGAAGTACTTGTTAAAAGCCCATGAAGAACCTGCCAATTACCTACCAAGAACAAGAGATTTACCTGTCAAATGCCCAAGAAGTACCCGCATTGTGCCCGTGAAATGGCCGAAAACTCCCTACCAAGTACTTGGAAAGTAACTGCCAAGTGACCGAAAAGTACCCGCCAAATGCCCGTAAAGTGTCTGCCAAGTAAACGTACAGTACCAGGTAAGTACCCGCCAAGTGCCCAGGCAGTACCTGTTAAGAGACCGTAAAGTCCCTGCCATTAGGCCACCAAGAACCTGCCAAGTGCCTAGAAAGTTCCTGCCAAGTACCTGAGAAATCCCCACTTAATACCTGGAAAAAACCCATTTAGTTCCGAGAAAGTACCCGCCAAGTGTTTGTAAAATATCTGCCAAATACCCGTCCAGTACCTAGAAAGTACCCGCCAAAAGACCGTAAAGTACCCATGAAGTCCAAAAAAAATACCCACTGAGTACTCGTAAAGTCCCCATCAAGTACCTGTTAAGAGCCTGTGAAGTATCTGCTAAGTACCCGTTTAAAACATGGAAAGAACCCGCCAAGTGCCCAGGACGCACCTGCTAAGTGCCCGTAAAGTCCCCACCAAGAACCTGCCAAGCCCCTGCCGAGTGCCCGTAAAGGCACTACCAAGTACCTATTCACTATTTGGAAATTTCCCACCAAGTACCCGTAAAGTTCCCACCAAGTGCTCAGAAAGTACCTGCCACGTGCCTGGAAAGTACCCATCATATGCCCACAAAGTTCCTGCCAAGTACACGGTAAGTCTTCACCAAGTACCCGCCAAGTATCTAGGAAGTCACCACCGTGTACCCAGGAAGTACCCGCCAAGTGCCCACAAAGTACTTGCCAGGTACACGGTTAGTCCTAACTAAGTACCAAGCAAGCACCCACCAAGTGCCCAGGAAGTACCCGCCAAGTGCCCATAAAGTACTCACTAAGTGCCCGTGGACCCCTAAACAGGTACCCCAGAAAGTACCCACCAAGTACCTAGGCAGTCTCTACCAAAAACCTCGGAAGTACCCGCCAAGTGCCCGAAGAGTACCCTCCAAGTAATGTGGAAGTCCCTACCAAGTACCTTAGAAGTACTCGCTAAAGGCCCAGGAAGAACCTGCCAAGTACCCACTAAAAAGCCGGAGGATAACATGTCAAATGCCCGAGAAGTACCAGCGAAGTGCACATGAAATGCCTGAAAAGTCCCTACCAAGTACTTGGGAAGTACCTGCCAAGTGCCCGAAAAGTACCCGCCAAGTGCTCGTAAAGTGTCTGCCAAGTAAACGTACAGTACCAGGAAAGTACGCACCAAGTGCTAATTGTTTGTAATGTCTCTGCCGAGTACTAGTCCAGTATTAAGGAAGTACCAGCCAAGTGATCGTAAAGTACTCACCAAGTAACAAGAAAATACTCTCTGAGTGCACGTTAAGTCTCTATTAATTACTTTACAAGTACTTATCAAGTGCCCGTAAAACTCTGCCAGGTAACTGTCCAAAAACCCAAAAAGAACCAGCCAAGTGCCGGTAAAGTACCCACGGAGTACCTGTTAGGTCGTTACAAAGTACTGGGAAAGTACTCGCTGAGTTCCCACAAAGTATCCCACAAGTACCTAGGAAGTCCCACTGAGTACCCAAAAAGTACTCGCTTAGTACCCAGGCAGTTCCAACCAAAAACCTGGGAAGTACGCGCCAAGTGCACGTGAAGTCTTCGCCGAGTACGCGAAAAGTACCCGCTAAGGTCCCACGAAGTTCTTGTGAAGGGCCCGTGAAGTCTCTGCCAAGTATTCAAGAAGTCCCCGCCAAGTGCCCAAAAATTTCCCACTAAGTACCCGTCAAGTACCTAGGAACCACCCGCTAAGATCTCGGGAAGTACAGACTAATTGATCGTTAAATTTCTATCAAGTACTCGAAAAGTCCCTGCCAAGTTCCCGGGAAGTAACTGCAAAGTGCCCAAAAATTTCCCACTTAGTACCCGTCAAGTACCTAGGAAACACCCGCTAAGATCTCGGGAAGTACCCACTAAGTGATCGTAAAATTTCTATCAAGTACTCGGAAAGTCCCTGCCAAGTTCCCGGAAAGTAACTGCCAAGTGCCCGAAAAGTACCTGCAAAGTGCCCAGGAAGTACTTACTAAGGGATCTTGAAGTCCCTGCCAAGTACCCTGGAAGTCATCACCAAGAACCTTTCATATACCCGGGAAGTACCCACCAAGTATTTAAAAAGTCCTTATTAAGAGCCTGAGAAGATCTCGCCAAGTGCCAAGATCTCGAAAAGTATCCGCTAAGTGCCCGTAAAGTCTCCGCCAAGTATTCATGAAATCCCCGCTAATAACCCTTCGTTCAGTACACGAAAAGTCCCCGTAAAGTGCCTGAGAAGTACCCACCAAGTGCCCGAGAAGTACCTGCCAAGTGCCCAGGAAGTAACTGCCAAGTGCCATGAAAGTACCCACGAAGTACCCATGAAGCACTTGTCAAGTGCCCGAAAAGTGCCCGGGAAGTATCTCCCAAGTACCTAGAAGGTACCTGATGAGTGCCCGTGAAGATCTCACCAAGTTCCCGGGCAGTGCCCGGGAAGTTTCCATCAAAAACCCAGGAAGTATCGGCAAAGTCCACGAAAAGTCCTAATAAAGTGCCCGGGAAGAACCCGTCAAGAGCCTTGGAATTCCCCAACAAGTACCCAGAAAGTACCCACTAAGAGCCCGGAAATTGCCCGGGAATTTCTTGCTAAGTACTCAAGAAGTACCTTCCAAGTGCCCATTAAGACCCTGCCAAGTACCCGGGAAGTGCCCGAAAAGGTTCCACTTAGTACCCTCGAAGTACCCGCCTATTATCCAGGCAGCCGTCACCAAGTATCCGGAAAGTACCCACCAAGTACCCGGGAAGTACCTACCAAGTACGAAGGAAGTCCCCTTTATGAACCTTGGAATTACCCTCCAAGTGCTTAGGAAGAACTTTCCGAGTACCCTAGAAGTCCCCACTAAGTACCCATAAAGACCCCGCAAAGTCACAATCATGTACATAAGAAGTCTCTTCCAAGTACCTGAGAATTACTTATCAAGTGCCTGGCAAGTACCCGCTAAGTACCCAGGAAGTCTCCACTAAGTACCTGGGAAGTACCTGCTGAGTACCTAGGAAGTCCCTACTAAGTACCCGTGAAGACCCTGCCAAGTACCCAGGAAGTGCCCGGCAAGTCCCCACCAAATACCTGGAAATTACCTGTTTAGTGCTTGGGAAGTATCTGCCAAGTATTCAGAAAGTCCCCACCAAGAGCCCGAGAAGTAACCGCCAAATGCCCGGAAAATACCCGCTGAGTGCCAATGAAGTCTCCACCAAGTATTTGGGAAGTCCCCGCCAATTACCCTTCGTCAAGTACCCGGGAAGTACCCGTCAAGTTCCAAGTAAGTATGTGCTAAGTACCCGGGAAGTCCCCACTAAGTATCCGGGAAGTCCTCGCCAAGTGCCTGGAAATTCCCTACCAAGTCCCCGCTAAGTACCTGGGAAGTATCCACCAAGTGCCCGTAAAGTCCCTACCAAGTACCCAGTAAGTCCCCGCCAACTACCCAGACAGTCTTCACCAAGTACCCGGGAAGTACTCACCAAGTGCCCAGGAAGTATTTGCCAAGTGCCTGCCAAGTGCCCTTTCTGTACTGAAAAAAGTTTTGGTACTTTAGCTTTGTGCATTACTCTGAATCATCGCCAACCGTATGGGTAAAAACTTACTTACAAGAATAGCATAGCCTTCTACGGGCCGTGACGCCTAGTGTGTTTCTGAAGGCATCAACGGATCTTTTATAACGTAGTTTTTTTTAGTTTTGTGATCAAGATTTAAGCAAGCAGTAATTTGTTTCCTGGTTAAAAAAAAAAAAAAATGGTCTCATTATGAATGTATGTGCTTCACTGAGTTAACATGAAAAATTTTTCTCGTTGGTAAGGCTATTTTTAAGTGTTGCATGGAGAGTATAACACGAGTGCATTATGTATCATGGGCTTCTTTTTGAAAATGCTGCTAGCAGTTAAGTTACGTTGGTAGTGGTACGCCACATGATCGGATGGCGCGACTGTCAACGTGTACTAACTGCCAGTGTGTTTTACTTATCAACAAACTTTGATTTATGTTTATACTCCAATGCTACATTGATATGTCGGAGTTTGTTTACATGTTAACCTACCAACAGTTACAGTTAGTACAGGTTGACACTAGCGCTGCCCGATCATGCGGCGTACCACGACCTACTTAACTTAAATGCTGGCAGCATTTGCGGAATAC